TTTCAATATCACAATAATCTTCCAATTTAGAACTACAAGTTTAAAAAAAAAGAACTAAACACAAATAAAATACACTTCAGCTAAATACTAATTTATTTTCCCAAACCACGCGGAGCCGCAGTATAAGGACTAAAGAGCCGCATGCGGCTCTGGAGCCGCAGGTTGCCGACCCCTGGTCTAGGGCATACCCCCAAGTAGACACAGAAACTGTATTTTGTCTGAAAGAATTGCTGTGTATTTAAGTCAATACACTTAAAATGTTCACCTCTTTATCTGCTCTCAGACAGGAATTGAAATTTTTACTTTCTGCCAGAGTCCATTTATAAGAACAGAAGGTTTAGCTCATAGGGCAGGTGACCCTCTTTGTCTATTGCTGCATCTGCTGATTATTCAGTTTGTGTTAATGTGTGAATTTGGTGTTAATGGGTCAGTGTGGATTAGAATCCCTGTTAAAAACACAAAAATTCACACAAAATGACCAGAAATGTTTTCTGTGAGGTCAGATTGCTGGTTTTAAGATTGTCAGATTGCTAAATAGAGTCTAGCAGATTGTATTTGTTAATACATGTAGTTTCTCAAAATTTTGAGTATTGTCACAAATGGAAATGAAATATTAAGTTGACATGTGTTTCAAACATCACCTATGTGATTGTTGGAGTCAGAAAGGAATAATAGTAAACTATATTAAAATCAACCGCTCACTCTCATCCTGTGTACAATCACAGTTCACGCTCATAAGCATGTGTCCTGTAAATCCTCCCACAACACATCATTCTGAATGTTTAACTCTGCTGCTGGTTTCAAATCAGTGAAAATACATAATGCTTAGTCCCGTTTTTGTTAGCATGTGTTACCTTCACCCTGGGGTGGTTGTAGCTCAGAAGGTAGAGTAGGTCACCTACGTATTGGAAGGTTGTTATATAAAGCACTTTGAGTGCTCACGTAAAGTAGAAAAGCACTATATAAGAACCAGTCCATTTACCATTTACCATTCTGCATGATTCTGTCTGCATGCTACTCTTTTCTTCTCATATTGGCTGCCACAGTCTGATTGAATGTCTGGAGGGCCAATCAGCAGAGCTGGGGGTGGGCTCGCAGGGAACAGAGGAAATAGTGGGGGCATCAGAAGGCGGGGATACACTGCAGAAGAGCAACTCAGTGGAAGAAGGGGAGGAGGAGCCTGAGCCTTCAAAGTAAGAAATTAACAGATGACCTCCTGTTGGAATCAGTTGTCATAGCAACAGCTGCAACACTACCCATTTCCTTTTCCTCTCTGTGCTATTGTGATGTGTTTGTGCCCAGCCTCTTGTGTTTTGGCCCTTTTTCCTCACTTACTTTTGTGGTGGTCCTTCCTCCTGCAGGGTGTCTGCAGCTGCCGCTCCTCTCACCAAGTCGTCAAGTGTCGGTGGTGAGATTTGCTCATTGGGGAGAAACGATGATGACGACGATGACAAGAAGCGACGCTCAAGCTTCGGTGCAAGGATGATGGGGATGGTTGGACTTGGAAAGAAGAGTCAGAGTGCCTCCCAGCTCAACCCAGAGGGTCAGTCCTAGTTTAACCATTAAAAAATATAACCTCAATTCTTGCTGTTTTTGTTATAGTTCATGGACTCTGCCATAAACAGACCAAAGTTTTCTTTGAATTGAATCTTCAGACATACAGTGTGTTTTAGCCAAACTGGGAATCTGAGTAGCATTGCAAGAGTGTCTCAATAAAAACTCACTATCAGAATGAAAATCCAAAGAGGAACATCAGACAAAAAATAAACTATGACCAAATGAGTTAGGTACTAACAAGTAACTGACCAAACATATTACGGAACCAGTTGAACCAGTGAAAACAGAACAGAACCAATATGAGTCACAGAGCACCCTGTCCAGGGCTCTGATTAGTCTCTGGCTGTTTATGCTCTTGTAACAACTTATTCTGCTTCTTTTCTCTTTCTTCTTCCATCCTTACAGAGGAAGAGAAGAAGAAGAAGGTGGTGAGACTTCCCGTTCAGAGAAGTGTAGAAACCGGTTTGGCCATCGAGTTTAAAGCTCGTTTTACCCGACAGCCGAGTCGAGACCCAGATGCCGAGGACCCAAAACCTGGAGCGTATGAATCGCTCCTCTTTCTACTCTTTTTATCTTGTATTCTCTGTTTAGTTCAACTTTATTCATACAGCACTCATTTAAAGCAAGGGGTTTTTATGATAGCAATAATCTCTGATAGCAGAGGGAAAAACTCAACAATCACACAACCCCCTGTGAACAATCACTTGGGAACAGCAGGGAAGAAAAACCACATTTTAACAGGAAGAAACCTCTAGCAGAACCAGGTTTGGGGAGAGGCAGCCATCTGCTATGACCTTTTGGAGTGAAGGGAGGACAAAAGACAAACTGAGGGAGAAGGAAGACTAAATATGATGTGCTGCACCTGTGCTATATAAACACAGCGGAGCTAGAACAAAGTGGAATGAAGGCTTCTTGTTTTCACTCAGTATTGTTTAGATGAAAGAAGGCAGTTCTACATAGTTACAGTTCTACTTCTACTTTTTTCTCTCTGAACTTTGAATTTAGTTTTTCCTGAATGCAATTTTTAACCTCCTTTTTTAATTGCTCATTTTGTCACTCCCTCCTTTTTTAGTCTTCCCCTTCACCCTTTTCCCTATTTTTCCCTTTTAAATGTGTATTTATTCTCACATTGAACTTAAACACTTCCACTTCCCATTTCCCTGGGGTTGCCAACTAACATGTCGGATATTTTCTTTTTCTCTTTCTGTCTGGTCAGGCTTATATTTCCAGGAGTAAAACTTGCATCAGACAAACAGTTCACTGGTTTCCTTGAAGGATTAGGCCCCGCCCAGCTGGCTGGACGGCAGACATTGGCCACGCCCCCCATGGGTTAGCATGAATAAAAATGTCATTGTTTTAATGTATATCAACCTACCAACATACAAACTCATTAATTCAGATTTATGTAATCTGGACATATGTTTATCTAATTATCTAATAAATCATATTAAAAAACATTAAAATACAATACCACTTTCTGCCCATGAAAACGTGCGGTTGTGTTTCAGTAAAATCTCTCCTCTGATTGGCTTTCTTTTGGTTAGGTGACATCCAGATCGGGATGGTGTACAGGAAGGAGCGTCTGGACGTGGAGGTTATCCGAGCCCGGGGGCTTGTGGGTAAACAAGGCAACAAGAACACTCCAGGTGACAAAGCTATACACAATGCACAATTGACTACAAATACACTCTACCTAGCACACTCTAGTGTAAGAACGTGAACTTAATCAGTTCCTCCATGCTGCTCTCAGCTCTCTCCTCCCTCGTGTATCTCATTCAGTCTCTCATCCAGATGAGAGCTGCTTTGTTACAACCTGAATTCTGTCTTCCAGCTGAGCTGTACAAAGAGCAAAAGATCCCAAACATGATTTACTCTCAGAACCTCACCTTTCACATACTCAAGCTCCACATTAACTGTGTTACTTGTGGAAATGCTCACAATGCCATTGTTTACAAGGTGTTTATTAAAGTCAGTGTTAAATGTAAAGTCAGAACCTATATTAATCTGAGATACTTGGAGCATTGTGACAGATCTGAGAGAAGAAACTCCATGAACCTGAGCTGTGGTGACGCAGAGATGTGTGACTACACTTTTATTATGGACTCATTTCTGATTAATAAATCTGAAATAGTTTAGAAATATACACATTTTTTGGAGGTGTCTTGTATTGTGGCTCATGCAGTGCTGGAGTTCTTCATTCTTCCTCAAAGATGAACTGCTTTCTGCTCCTCATTAATAATATAAGGGCTTAGCTGAAAGCTAGCACAACTTCTTGTGTTGTGCTAACAAGAATTAGGGCTTTTCAGTGTTACGCATCACCAGAAAATTAAAACCTCTTCAATGCTTTAATTTTCTCAGTAGCACTCATTACTTTCATGTAATTTTTGGTCGCAAGTTTCTGTGTCAAGGTAATTCTTTTAATGTTTCTTCCAACTTTTCCAATCATTCCACATTTTTTCCAATGTGGAATTATTGAACAGCATACATCTTTAATGATTTAAAAAAAACAAATTGGAATATTTTGGATTTTTAATAATCCACACAGACAGAAAATTGCAACTTAGGAATTTGCAACTCAACCAAATGCTTTTGTTAGCCATCATTACACTTCTAGCATAATTCTGGATGCATATTTGGCTGCTCATCTTTGCAGGATTCCCTTAAATTAGCTGGTTTCCTGGCACAGGCTCGACCTTTAAGAGAAGTCCACAAATTTTCACATTTAAATACTACTGCACACAACCATCGCAGTACAAAGGTTTAGTAGTCATGGGTTATGATCTGTGAAACAGCTTGGTAGTGTGTGTGTGTGTGTGTGTGTGTTTTGCAGCTCCTTATGTGAAGGTGTATCTAATGGATAATGGAAAGTGTGTGTTGAAGAGAAGAACTCGTCTGGCAAGGAAAACCCTTGACCCTCTTTATCAGCAACAGCTGCAGTTTGAAGAAAACCCTGAGGGCAAAGTTCTACAGGTAATTATATATGTACTGATACTGCAGGATGCCAGACAGCTGGACAGCACAGGATTACAGGACCCTGGGATCAGGGCCTGCAGCCCTTCTTTTGTTGCTCCAGCCTCTACACCAGGGGTGTCAAACTCAAATACACAGTGGGCCAAAATTCAAAACTGGAACAAAGTCGCGGGCTAACGTTAATATTTATTGAAATATATTTATTCCTCCAGATATAAGAATGAATCTTTTCTTATGGACTCAAACACATTTTGCTAAAAAACTGAATATGGCACAAGCAAA